GCATAGTGCCCGCGCATTCCGCGCCGCGCCCTAATGAGATCCTAACGCCAATACACGGCTTAATTGCATTCTCGGTGCTTGTTCATTTTCTAAGCTTCACCGTCATATTATATTATATGAGAATTGATCTTCTAATTAATCCAGACAGTCTTCTCTCGTAGTGTTTGTCATCTTGCGAAGGTCAAATAAATAAATGGCAAAGTACGTTTAAAACGGCGACCTATTTTGGCGTTGAAAATGTCGTGCTATGTTTTATATCCATATCCGTATATATCCATATCCGTTTTGGTAGTGAGTTCGATTACCGGCCGTGTAATTTTCTTAATCTAAAATACATTTGCAGAGAATTTGAAGTTAACATAAGCGACGCCTACTATCTTTAGTCGCCCATAGCTAACTTAACATAGAGTTTTGAAGAATAAATTAACCAATATATTTCGTGTTTTAAACCGTGCAAAGTGTTTTATTTAATCTAAAATAGGTATAAAGCAGTATTAAGCTTATATTCAAACGCTTAGACATGCGCATTACAATAAAAGGCAAACATATTAGAATAATTTAATTCCGCCCTCATATCGTATTCAGCGCGTACATTCCAATCTTTTACAAAACACAGACTAAATAAGGTGAAAGGTAGTACGCGACCCTTTCTGTGCGGCATTAGGCAGGCAACACACGGGCGGCATGCGCGTCACGTCATTCGTTATTGCCCGTACATCGGCGCACTTGCCCGATCTGATTTGAAATATTTCCACGGAATCACTTATGCGTCTCTCGTCAATGCCGTGAAAGGATGCTGTTTTAAAATGCTCTGAGGTAATGTAGAGGGAAACTTAGTGTTCTACACATGAAGCTATTGTATAGATTGAAAAAGAAAGAAAGAAAAATTGGTTTATTACCACTAAAACTAGAACAAATTCGAAAACTAAAATTTTGTGGCACGTCGCGATTCAGACTATTGAAGGCTGAACGAAGAGGATCGCTCAGCGCTGTTTTTCAGTCTGTTCCCTTTGGCCTCTGGCATAATTAGTTTTGCGCAAAAGGATACAGAATTGTACACTACTTATGAAAGGACAATTTTTCGTGTCTCGTTTGAAGGTTCAGCGTGATTTTGTATGTAATTGAACCGGCGTCCTTAGCATTACGTGAGCTAATTGAGCTACTGTATCTTAAAGTATTTTTTTCGGGAACCAATTTTTTTTTTAATTTTTTTTTTTTTGGGCCCCCCTTTTTTTTTAATATTTTTGGGGGGGGGGGTTCCCCCCCCCCCCCCCCTTTTTTTTTTTCTTTCTTTTCCTTCCCTTTTTTTTTTTTTTTTCTTTTTTTTTTTTTTTTTTTTTTTTTTTTTTTTGTTTTTTTTTTTTTGGTGTGGTGTTGTGTGTGTTTTTTTTTTTTTGGGGGGGTGGTGGTTTTTTTTTTTGTTGGGTTGTGTTTTTTTTTTTGTGTTTTTTTTTCCTCCTCCCCCCCCTCTTCTTCTCCCTCTCCCCTCCCTCCTTTTTCTCCCTTCTCCTCCCCCCCCGGGGGGGCGGGATCTTACATCGTCGATTCTTTCAACTTATTGATGACAATACTCAATGTAATTTCAACATTAACATTTGTTAAGATTCAATGTCTTACGCTTTCAAATCATTGAAGATAATTTCAATTAGAGTACTGTCCGTGTCGTAATTATTTTTAAGTCGAAAATCGATTTTTGATTTAATGTAGAGGGAAATGAAATCCTAGTACCTACTAGGGTAGAACAAGTTATATAAAAAAACAAACAAAATTTAAAATAGTTTCATTGTTTTTAGATAAGTTTCGTTTTGTATTAACTACATTTTAGCGTCTAAATATTTGCACAAATATGGAAGTTCAGTCTAGTGTTGAAAAAACCGCGGAGTAGGTAAACCAGAAACGAACGCTATTTTTGCCTATTTTACACAGGTGAAAATACAACACACGTGTTGTATATACATACAATTAATCACAAAATACGCTTTTGTATTATTACTTTAATAATAAAATTAAAAAAAGGGCTTCTATTATATTATTGCCTGTTTTTTGTTTTTCGTATATCGCGTAATCTGGGTTACAATCAACAACCCAGATTACGCGATTCCGATTAGCAATTTGCTATTTTTTTCTTAATGCTTTTCTTAATTGTCTACGGTTACGTTATTTTATGTTTAGCTGAAATTTGCATAGTTGATATCGCATGCGACATTCCATTGAATTGGATTCAGGATTCGAGTCGCGTACTTCGTAATGGGGTTACTCGTAAGCACCTACACCCAAGCACTTGTAGCAATCAGACGTTCTACCTTACCCAATACTTTTACAAGGCGTCTGAAGTATTTCTACTTAGTTTTTTTCCGGTGAATAAATTTTTAACTTCAACAAGAAACGGTTTTCGTTACTACGTAAGCGATACATTATCGTACTTAACAAATTTTATATCTAAACACTATCTGTAGTTTATGCAAGTAGTACACATTGAAATAAAGCAATCGAACGATTTAAAACGCGATATATTATGTTAGTTAAACTTATTTGGAAATTATTTTAACTACGCACCGACGATTTCAAGGCTTTGCAGCAGCCGTGGTCACGGGGAGACTTTTTAAATTTTTTTCATCTACTTTCATTTTCGAAACTAACTAAAATAAAATATATGTATTTTAATCTTTTATTATTATATACGCGCATAACATAATACGCATGCTAGTCAATCCGCAACCTTTGCGAACAATACTCAATGGAAGTTGGATATATTTCATATTATTATTTTTAAATCACAGACAACATTTAAAAAACTGGTTCTATCTATAAAATTGCACTGTTAGTGCAAAGAAATATAAATGAATTAAAAATCTATTGGATTTCTGTCAACATAATTTAAAAGCGTAGCTGAAACAAATCTTTAAATCGTAAAATGATTTAGGTAGTCTCGGGCCACCTGGCACCGCGGACCGCTGGATTGGCGCGAGATGTCTATAAACTGTCATCAGTAAAAAATCGATTAAATCTTACGCAAGCCGACAGAGCCTTGAGCAGCTGTGCGCGTGCGCATCACCTGTCCCACGTGGCAAAAGATAATAGCGACAACAAAGCAACCGAAATCTCCTATTGTTAGACAGTCGCGCGCATTGATTTTAAGAAAATGTTTATTATTGATCGCGATGTCCGTTGAAGCACACCTGTACAATGGGTCAAGCTATACAATGACCAATGTGCATATAAGTTATTAATAATACATTATAAAAATTAATATACATACTTAAATTTTCTATTATCCCCATATTGTATTTTGAACAACAATATATTTTTTAACACTATGCATGTTACTATCATTAACTCAACTCGACTTAAGTAGTTTTTTACTTGTAAGTAAAAAGGCAAATAAATAACACTTTTAACGGTTTTATTGCTATATTTATTTACCTTTTATTTTGCACAGCTAGTGCAAAGAATTTGAAGGGCCGTAGTTAAAATAAACTACGAATAAGTTAACGTTTTAAGCCGTTAAAAGTGTTTTTTTAAAGGATCAGCTAGATGCAGGTGCTATATACTCATACAATTTGTTGAAATAGATAAGAAAAATCCACCAATAAACCCTTACGTCTAATACATAGTTCCAACGGACCACACAAAATAATTCCAACGAAAAGCTGACTAATTGTTCTTTAGGTTTTACGTTTTACAACGTGAACAATTATCACCGTTCCATGGACACCACTAAAATAATATATTGTCGGAATTGCGTTAGTTACCATTTATTCTTTTCATTCATTCATAGACACGCACAGAGCAAGAAACAGTACATTTACCTGTCCAGCACTACTCCGTTCGGCTTTCAATAATTTATAGTCATCCGCTTCACGACAAATGTAAGCTTTATTGCACATCTAAATAGAGTCGTTTTTTCGCCCTACGCGAATATTTTCAGTTTATTATCCTGCAACGCTATCGACAATTGCTTCTCGATTGTCAGCGTCGTATTTTAAACATTTTTACGACGTCGTATTTTATTAGGACTGCATCTGTCAAGGTGGCCTGATGTGAAGTTCAACATGTAGAGTACTGAAAAACAAATGCAATAATGTACGAACTGGCCACACAGAAAAAAACATTTAAATCAAAGTCAAAAATCTTTTATTCACGTAGGCAAGTACTCGTAGATACACTTATGGACGTAAAACCATTTAAATAAAACACTTTAACGGTTTAAAACGCGATATATTAGTTAAACTTATTTAAAAATGATATTTAATTTCGGCTCGACGTTTCGGATGCTTTACAGCAGCCATGGCACGGGGAGACTAATATATCGTGTTTTATTTAAATGTGTACCACTCGCGAAAACTGTAGACAGTATTTAACGTCAAACCAGTTAAAAACTAAAGACTCTGAATTTATTTTACCAGTTCTTAAATCAAGGGCATAGACCGAACGAGAAGAATTGGCAAGAAACTCGCCGCCTCTCCTTTTATCGCCCAGATTAATTTTATAATCTCCACATAATTTTATTGCACACATTTTTCCTTGCTAGAGCTGGTTCCTCCAAAACCCGAGCATTCCATTGTTTGTTTTACATACAACTCCTTACGTTTACATCACGTATTTATTAACAGTCTTTGTACTTCATTTGGGATTTTATAAAAATCTTGGATTACATATAAAACAACGAACTGTCCCGGTAATCTTTGTTTTGCTTTATACATGATTGCTACATATTTACGTATAAATAGTAACTCACTTCTTGTGAATCTGTGACGATGTAGTATATAAATGAAGCTCATATATACAACATTTCATTAAAATCGATTTAGATGTGTTGAAACCCTATGCCAGGAAAATGTTATACATATATAAGATAATAGTTACGATGTTATTTGAATTCTGCTTTCTTGTTTTACCACTTATTGTAGACCCATTGATAAATAATTACTTAACTTCAAGTAAGTCTTAAGTGTTTTTGCATTCCGCGTTACCTAATCCCCGTTTACCTGGCAAATTCACTACTCAGAAACGGACAATGCACTATGATTTTTTTCAACTTCAAGCGAAGTTTTTCGGCGTACATTCCAAAAGGACACCTGGTCGGAAACGATCCCCGGGGGTCTCCCTGATTGATAGAGGTCCTGTCGCAAACGTGATTTTCGCAACACAATGGTAGAAAAATTCACGGCCGCTTGATTTGAAACGCACGCCGGCGTCGTGGAGTCTGTAAAACAATGAATGATAGAGTCCGTGAATGGCCCGAGAAACAAAGATCCCTTCGGCTTCAAGTGGGTGGGCAGGATGTCAGGTGAATTATTGAAGGTATAGCCAATTGCTTTATGAATGACGCTGCGCTGGCGAATGCACGAGACCGGCCGCTCCCATTTTGACCTGTGAAAATGTTGCTTCAGATCGATCATTGTGCATAACATGTAGTTTACTTGAGTACCTTTTACTTGAATGAATTTTAACTATGACCCGTTGTTGTCCCACAATAACTGGGTCGTCCCAATCCCCACTAAAAATCATTTGTAAAAAGGCTTAACTAACACTTCCCGATTTGAGCCGTTAAAAGTGCAATACTCGCGTAAACTACAGACGCGCTGTAAACGTTTTGACCCAACAGGAATTACTATGAAACAAGTTAGGCACGAGCTGCTTTTATTTAATGACAAATACTAATCCGTTTTAATGGTTTCAACGTTCATTTCGTTAACGACGCGCATTTCTCACCCCAAACCCCAAGTATACAGCACATTAATGATTGATCCCATAATGAATATGCAGATATGTTAAGGAAAGATAAGATCCCGCAAAATAAAGCCGACTCCCAAAGGAGTGATTGTCGTCGGCTGCTGCCTACCTCAGCAGCGACCAGATTTCAATCTCAGATAGCGGAACGCTGCGAACGTTTTACATAAATTCTAAAGTTACTGCCCTGTTAACAAACTGCACCGTTTGATTATGAGATTGGTGATAAATGGGGATTGCTGTGTTATGATCTGTGTTGAAGTAATTATAGAGCACTGAGCTATCCCAATTAAAAAGTAAATCTGAATTTCAAAATAAATGTATTTATTTCTAGTACTGTATATCGTTTTTTTAGTAAAAGTACACTCTTTGGAAACGAATAGTGAGAGTCATATTAAGGAAATAAGGGCTTTTTTTATATTTATTGTATGAATCATTTAAAACTCTAATGAGTTTATTCTATGTGTTAATATAATGTTTGTAAAATTTTGAGTAAAATCTAAAATCCCTATATGATATGTTGTTCAAAAATCAAATCACGATTACCAGTAAAATATCTGAAACGTCTTATCATACATATAAAGTAATAAACTTCTATAGTTGACATTTTAAACTAATGTCTAACTGATAGTTAAACAAGAATCGTTTAGATATAACAATAACGTAGTTAAATAAAAAAATCGTTAAATGTATATAATATATAATAATTTTATTTTATATTTTTCCTCAAAACTTTTTATTTACATCTTAAAGATTAAGAAGAATAAGTAATAAGTTAACTGATTAGTTGTTCTTCTCGAAATTAGGTTGTAAAAAATTCAGAAAGGTTTGAATTTAATAAAATACAACGATTCCTTGCGTAACCAACTATTACGCGACTTCATGAAAACAAACAAAACACTACGCATTTCAGCGCAAGATATAATATTTCCAACCCTTCTAATTAATAGCCATCACTGTCTCTTCCACTCGCGAGGGTTGACAACGCTTAAGTTTTTATAATACGCTTCCTCACCTCCGAGAAACAGAAAGAATAATTGCTTTTTTCCACTGGCAACTCTCAAGCACCGAGTGCTTCAAACTCGCTGTTACGTCATATTTGGGAGGTTAAAAGCTATTAACTTTAATTAACGTGGCTCGAGAGGTTTTCAAGGATAACTTTGGCATTTTTGGATATACGTCCTCGGAAATAAACGACAAATAAGAATTCGTTTACACATTAAATAAAATGTTTTGACGTTTTAAAAGTGAAATATAAAATATTCTTATAAGTTTCCGCGAGTCGAACTTATTTAAATAAAACATTTTAACGGTTTAAAACGCGATATATTGTTAAACTTATTTTTATTTTAGTGTAGCCTGACTTTTTGGATTGTGCAGCAGCCGTGCGCTACGGTGACCACGTTACAAGTGTTTAATTTAATTACGTAAGTATCCGAATATCCAAAGCCAAAATAGGTCGACAGCGGGTCTTGCGCAGATGTTATATGGCTGGGGTATTTCACCTCCCATCAAGTGATCCCCAGCTTGTCTGTTCTCCTTTATATGAATTTATATTTAGTTAGGTCACACTTCGATATAATTTTGCAAAGGCAATGCTATTGCACAGATTTACAATAGATATTAATATTTAAATTGAAGTGAATAGTGGACCACACTTAAAACCGTTTTATATAAAAAGTCCCTCAAAAGAGGTAATCTCATGTTTTAATAGATATATTTTATGAATATACAGAAAAACGTTAAGACGCGATCCATTCTATGGGCTGAAAATTGAATAGGTGGATTATGAGATCTGCTAGGGTGGGCCATGCTAGGGTTGTCTCTTTAGAATTTCCGTAATAAGATGATTAGAAATGTAATTATAAAAAAATATATCGCACAGGAAAGACCTGTTCATAATACGTAACTATTCCCTTATCGTAAAAACAGTCTCGTACAGTTTTGTAAGTACCAGCTTGTAAATCAAAATCATTTTATTCATGTAGGTTGCTTAGTACACTTATAAACGTCAAAACACTAAAATATTTAAAGCATTTATAGTTACTACACTTACTTAGTTACTTACAGTTACTAAATAATTATAAGGGCATTTATCAACTAGCATTTAGCAGGTTTTTTGTTTGTTTAGCATGATGCCCTTAAATGTACATTGAAGGTCCTATATGCATATGCCACCACCATCGTCTATGAAGATATATGTCTATCTTTATAGACACCGGAAGTGTCCTAAACATGGGTCCTATAGATGTGACCTAACTGATTTCCTAATTTCAACAGTAGGCTGTTAATAATGGTGGATATGGTATTACTTTATACTGGAAGGACGTTATTACTTTATTTAATTGTATTTTTAAACCAATTGACAGTATTGTCCACTTTGATTGTAATAAGTTTTGCAATTTTCTGATATAGTTAAAGATTGTAAGTTGAATGTTTAATTTGAATTGTGACTTTTTTATAGACAACACTATTGTTTAAAAATCCTTATTTAATGGACCTTAAAAAAAAAAAATTTTTAAATGATTTAAATAGGAACATTTCGGATGTATTTGTAAAATCGAAAAGTTAATTGTTTTAATGAAAAGATGAATTAATCTGATAAATTGAGCTCCTTAAAAAAATACTCTATATCAAACAATGAAAAGTGCAATTGTTCATGAGTGTACGGAAAAAATAATCTCGTTTTCAAATGATATACTTTATTGTTCAACCCTAGCGGGAACTGCAGGTATTGTAGACGACTCGCGGCCTGATTACTCCTGCTATTGTGTCACAGACATAGGACGCAATTAAATATTAGACTGATTTTTTTTCGATTGCGAACATAATCTGTAAAGAAGAATCTGAGAATATCTGTATTTGATATATGTTGATCGTTTTAGGTCTTGTTAATAGTTAGCATCTGTTAAGCATTGTGACAATATAAATTATATACAGTCTGTAGTTTACGCGAGTAAACATTCAAATAAAACACTAATGGTTTAAACTAGCAGAACCTTGACCACGGCTGTGAATAAGTTCTAGTAATATATATCGCGTTCTAAACCGTGTAAAGTGTTTTTTTAAATATACATTATCTTAAACTTATATCGTGTTTTAAACCATCAAAAGCATTAGACAAGCTTTACAGATATTTCCGATTTTTTGCATATAAATGGTGAATAAAATTTTTGCAAGAAATATGTCGAAATAACGTTTTTGTCGACACTATACCGAGATAGCTATTTGTGTTCATTTTCATCGAAATATATTAGGTAATTTGGTTTATTCTGTGGCTCGTTATTCTAGTAGGCTTGTGGCGTTAGGTTATGACAGCCTTTTTAGAAAGATCAGTGATCCGTTAATTACGGCGAAACAAAGTGTCGTAAACATTGATAAGTAAAACCGCAGACTTGTTAACAAGTGCAGTGCCATTGCACGCCACTTAAGTGGTAAATTCGAGGAAGCTGTCATCTGAACAGAGCCCGTCGCGATCGCTGAAGTGGTCTGCTAACGAACACGCGTGTCAAAGCGAAACACTTCATTAGGTGAGCGACGCTCCGCCCGCCCTGCGCCCCGCCGCGCCCGCCCGCGCCCTTCCTACAGCCTCTATTTAGTGGGCGTCTTACCGACTCCGCTGCGCTAATTAGACGGTGCCGACTCTCTTCTCATTAGTGGCGAAATTATGCAGTTTGCCGTATTCGGGTTAATCGCGAGGTCGAGATGTCGGGCCTAACATAAAACTGCCGAAAGATAGCCCGCAACACAAAATCGCATCGCTCGACGTTTTTCTGAACACTACTGATATGCTTCCGCGCATAAATTTAATTAGAGCGAACAAAAGAGGCCGCTAATTAAAACGCGAAGCTGAAATGTGTCCGAAAATGCGAACGATAAAATTCCCGGCTCGTTTAGGTAAACTGGCGAAAACCGGCATATTTGTAAGGGAGAGTCCTCTCGGGCGAACAACATTTATCTACAGCGCAATGGGTTAATGAATGGGGGAGGAAGAATGAGAAGTAGGCATTATTTTAATTAGGAAAAAATGTTCAACATTCCTACGGAGCCTAGGGGTGAGCGACGAGCGGGCTGTTTGAGGCTAACTGAGCTAATAAATTGCGCTCAATTCTGACAGTGCTCGCCTCTTCAGTGCAAAGAGCTCGCACACGCTCTGTTTTCGATGTAGGCAACGGCTAGGAAATAAAGCCTCCGATTCAACAGAGCGCGCACTAAAAATAAATACAGATGAGCTTTCGCTTCACCGAGAGTAATTCGCCATTAGCAAATGAGCAGTTCAAATCTCATATTCCAATTATTAGTCAACTGGCCTTTATATATGTTTAGGTACATGCGAAGATGGTGTTTCTAGGTGGAAAGACATACTATGTCTGTTAATAAAATCTAATCTAAAGGAATTTAAAGTCGTAGATTTGATTTGATATAATTTGTTAGGCAGAATAGATAACAAAATAACCTACTGGTCTAAACTATCTAAATAAAACTAAATCAAAAACATGGGCCAGGTAGAAAAGACGGTATCGCTTATTGCTCTAATAATTAAAAAAACTAAAGCAATTAATAAGTGTAAGTTTGCGTTTGATTTTCAAAATTTTTAGAAAAGATAGAGAAGACGGGATGACTTGTCTGCTAAAAATAAAAAATCAAAAGTAATTAATCGGAATAGCTCGCTACTATTACCTGTCCATTAGGCACCTAAGTAAACACAAAGTGAGAAATTTAGCTGCGTTATCGCCGCCCCGCCCGCCCGACAAAGCGGCAGCAAAAAACGCCGCATCATAGTTAAATCATTTACGAAATATCGACAACAATAAGCGAGGAGGACTTTAAAAATGCCGGTTATTAATATTTGTTTTCTTTGTGCGCGACCACGTGTCCCCACACCTGAGCGCTGCGGATGACGTCGCCGAATAAAAAAATCGCAAAAAACGCTCGGGAAAAGAGCAGAGGCGCAAACAGACAACGGCCCGTTTGAATGATTGCTTCCCTGGAAGAGCGTAGTCCATTTTTCACAAGTGCCATTCACCGCTTTCATGTTGCCTACGCACTGTGTATTTATGTGTTTTTATATCGGCCCCACCTCCCCGATTGATATTCCAAATGCGAATTTGCGCGGCCCAATTTCTCACTGTTTTATTCATTTAGTGATTTCGCGATGGCAAACTCGCAGGTAGATGTGTTTAATTTCGAAATGAATGTTTATTGGCGCGTTTCCGTTTTGTTTTCAGTGCTGTTGGCTGCTGCCGAAATGTATAAGCGGCGCTGGTATTCGTGTCGGTGTTTGCTCTGTTCCATTGCCAACGATTAATGCTTTGCCGATAGCATTCCTGGATACAAGTAATTTCGTATCTACGTTCATTATTTATTATGTTAACACGTTCACGTACCGTACTATTACGTTTGTCATGAACAGCCAGTATTAGTCTATTTTGTACTTGTATTAAAAATCTAAGTTAATATGTAATCTGATTGAAAAAATATATCCAACGAAAGTGACTAGAACCGGCATCCACAGCGATCTGTGCTGCTGCTCTAACCAAATGAGATTCCATTGTTTATATTTGTATTTTCACTGAAGCTTTCACTAGTTAGTTAAAAGCACATACGTAGATTACTATTGTCTACCTAATAATCGACAAGGAATTTCTATTTTATATAAAACAGGGAAAAAAATGTGGAAATTAATTTTCTGTGTCCATAAATCATCTCATAAGCCACATCTCAATCCCTTCATAATCGATTCATAGCAACCACTATGACTCCCTGATCCAGTCTCATGTCTAATGACGTAAAAAGTATGTCCCCACAACATTGAGTTCAACCAATGTAAAGAGTAAAAATAAACAGATGCGACAGAGTTCGACTCATGCTGAGCAGTTGCTCAGTTGGTTTTTTTTTATGTGATACTTGTTACTAAGCGGCTCTTACAATTACAATTCTAGGCCTAAATACTCGTGAAATTACAATACCTTTACAAAATGCACAATTCTTTTAACTATTGGTGTTATACTTCTAATAATTGTGGTTGATCAATTAATTCTTGTTATTTTCATTCTTCGTCCTATAAATTAAAAATTGATTTAAATAAATTACAACACGGACAGTACTTGAACCGGCATCTACAGCGTTCCGTGCTGTTGCTCTAACCAATAGAGCTACCACACCCTACTGATATATGCACTTCTAGCGAAATGTCTTTCTTGAATACAAGTAAATGGCCTCACAGATGTTTTTAGCATAGAACTCGGTCGGTCGTCGTGCTTCTTTAATCTATGCCGGTTTGTCCATAGATAAGGCAGGGGTCGCGAAAGCACGCCGTCATCGGTCGGCAATTTGAATGTGGCCGCTTAGCCGTGTGACGGCGGCTATGACTGATGAGGGAAGGGTGAAGATCGCCTGATCGCCTGTCATCCACCCTGTATATAATTTTGCATGCCCCCCCAACCTCCGAGGTCACGGTATTATGTGGCTCAGGTGGATCTTACGATGTAATGATAGTTACAAAATTGTATGGCTTACTGCTATATTAGTAACTACATACCTACTAGAGGTTAAATAATAAAACGTTTTTAATAAATTGAATTCCAAAAACTAATTTTACAAAAAACCTTGGACTTCTGTAGTTTCAATTTGAAATGGCGTTACTTCCCAAGTCATTATTATGACATTACACATAAACATTCATATATAACTACACAACACACTACAGACATATATATATGTATGATATATGTATATATGTATTATTCAATATTGATTAAAGTGAAACATTATAACATGAGCTGGACATGGTCGTGGGTTCGAGGTATTAAATTACAATTTAAAATGAGATACTATGAGCTCTCTTGTGAAACACCTTTAACGGCGACCTTTAATCGCGACATATGTTAAAAATTCTATCACCGCCTCTTCGACTTTTATTTTAAAGTTAAAAAATATTATTATGTATGACATACACTACGTATGTCATACATAATAATATTTTTCAATAAGTCGAATGAAATTTTCATAGATTATATACTATAGTCGTGTTTAGTGCACCCAGATGTAAATCTTGCGGTCATCGTGGCTCTACGTAAATATAAAGGACGCCTTCTGAATGCTAAGCGCGTTCGACTATGGAAATGCCTTTCCGTTCTGCCGTCTGCGAGTTATTGCTCAGAAATCGAAAGTAGGTAAATAATATAGGTTGAACTTCAAGCATTCAATGCACTGAATGAATAGAGAGACTTGTAGGTTTATTGGTGTACTAATTTTCGGTCGCGATGTCGGGAGTTCGATCACTAAAGATATATTACCTTTCTTTATGTATCTTCGCTAAAGAAAAAACTCATTAAAACATACCTTGGAAATTAATAACAAGCATTTAGAGAAGTTTATACGCTACAAAGTCAATTGTCAATGTGACAATTGACACTGCCCGTTGACCTTTGATTCGCGGGAAAACGAAAATAACACAATTATATTGTATTATTTATTTTAATTAGGAACCAATTCTGTAAATGTTACGTTAGATGAAGGTACCTAACCTTACTAAGTATCCCAGCAAAGATGAATAGGCCCTTTGCTTAACTGCAAGTTAAGGCGAGGTAAATCCGACCACGTCCAAGGTGCAATCAGGGTTCGGATTGGCTCCAAATATATAGCCGGGCTAAATTTGCGAGCTTAACGCTGAATGGCGACGGCTCGTGGCATCGACAATCGGGCAGAGGCCGTTTGCGGCGACACCAATTCGTATTCATTCATGGGCCATTGGCGTCTGTATCGGCTGTCGTTATTTGAATTTAGAACAAAATATGTCGACACGCGCTATGCTGGGACGGAATTGGCTTGATGGATTTATCGCTGACTTGTTTATGGTCGAGTTGTACAGTTTTTCAAAATTGGAACTTTTTTAATAACTGTAGCTTAAAAGTAGGTACCTGCCTACTTTGAAACGATTATATATTACATGCATATGTATAGAAGAATAGAAGTCTAATTGACTATCTGCGAATGTGATATTAATGACTAACATATTTATTCATCACGTTAAGAATCAAAGTAATTTTATAGGAAAATATGTCGAATCTCAGTCCGGATACCGTTACGGATCACCATCTATAGATTGAAAGTATATGAAGTCTAATCGCGTTTTGGTTATAGTCTGTGGATTTCTAAAGTCAAAATAGATAACATCTTAATTAAATGTTAACTACACATTACATCATCAGTGAATTAGTCAACATAAAAAAGGTAATCTAGACCGCGTTATGTATTATTCAGAATAAGGTTCATCGTTTATCCAGAAATATGTACAATGCAAATTCAAAAGCGATTTGTTATGTTCAGCAGAATTTATTAGCATAAGATGCGAGGCTAATTTTCTGAAAGCGATTTCCCCAGTTATTATCCGGCCAAATATTATGATACAGCGCAAAATTTCGCCGTGGAAATAAATTAAAAACGCAACAACAAGCTCGTAACGACGCCCGAACAAAGCCGCCCAATAAATCAAGGCGGGCAGGTGAGGTGCTGTTTGTGCATTAGAAAGCCTTTCTTGGCCTTTCTTCGTTTTAAAAAGCAGTCGACACCCGATATTTTCGCGGAGTCATCGACATCACATAAATATTGGAAGTGGGGCGGCCCCTTTCTTGTCTTCCTCTATAATTAATGCGCCGCGGTATCTATGTCGCCTTGTTTCGTTGCCAGATATGATCGTTGTGAATTGGCCGCGCGAACGGCTCGCCTCATTGTTTGCGGGGACAAATTTCCGATGAACTATGGCAACTTTGAGACATTCCTGATGCGAATAATCATTACTCACTTATTGTAGTTTTATGAAGATCTAATGTAAGGATGATAACAAACAATTATTAAAATATGGGTCACGGGGCTAAAGCCACTGATCGATTTTGTTAATTAGATCTCTGTATCCTGGCCTACAGAATAATGTTTTCCTGGGATTCAACCTGGGTTCTCTTATGTTATGTAGCATAACTATTGTCTGTAGCCTAATGTATGTACAAATGACATATTCAATATTAATAGTTTAAAACGCGAAAGTTACTAAGTTTAAATTGTAACACTTTGACGGTTTAGACCGTGAAAGAGTTTGACGCTAATTGCTTAACTAATATATTTCACGTTTAAAATCGTATAAATTATTTTTTTATATATAGTCGCGTAAACTACAGACAGTACCATCTCTTCGGTCGATGTCAATCATAATTAAACGTGTATAACTATGACTCAATTGAACCTTACAGACGCACGAATGAATCGTAATAGTCACTTCTCCTTATCGGGCGAAAAATTCGTCGGGTCGTCCACAAAAACAAAAGCGCTAAGCGCTGGTAATATCTCAAAAGTGTTGCCAGCAACAAAAAAGAAGCCTTATCTCACACACGCAATTTGCGTCGACGATTTTCGTCTCTTCCTCTCATTACCCTGGCGTGATATATTTGCGTGTTTATTACAGCAATTACTTAGAGTAAATCTCACGTCCTTCCTGCCCCCTCTGCCCCCTCTGTGAGGAGGGTCGAGCCCCCGCCGGTTCACCCTCCTTCCGGCCGGCCCTGCCCTTAAGTCTTATGTACCTCGTAAGTTTCTTCGCGGACTTGGTAACCGGATTCAAATTGGGGCGAATTTAGTAGCAATTAATTATGGAGCCGTGGAAGTGTCGCCAGTATTGCCCGTACCCTCGATTCGCGTTATTAATATAACGATTCTGAATAATTTTATGATTTAGTGACGGAAGAGGTCGCTACCAATTACAGGGTTTAGCGTTTTCTATAGATTTCGTGCGGGCGGCGGACGTTTTAAATGATAATTTATCAGAAATCAAAATTCACTTTGCAGTCACGCCCATTAGATTAAAACAAATACCTACCTACTTTTACTCGTTTAAAACGCGACATATATTAGTTGCGTTTTTAAGCATATAAGTATATCGTATTTTAAATCTTTTTATGTGTTTAATTTAAACATGTATCACGAGCGAAAATTACAGACAATAATTATATGAAATGATTGGAATCATGATTTAATTGTTAAATAGGACATGTCAACGCGTAGACAACAAATAATAAAAAATATATATACCTTTTTTAACAAAACCGTAGTTATTCATTTTATTGTGTTATCTGATTTTAATGTTTAATGAGTAATCTTTAATTAAATTAATAATAATTTCATACTACGAAATTATTATCTAATTATACGATATATATATATAAATGTAAACTAATCGCATATTCATAATCCTACAAATATTTAACACGCACCAACCAGCGCCATAACAATTAAAACTGCTAAGTTACACGAAGTTATTCACGAGAAAATTCAACGCAGCGAGTTAAATCCAGATATTAATCTTGCGACGGCATCCGAGCGCTGGATTCGCCATTTTGCGCCTAAATATGATAAACTTTCCCCCGAATTTCTTACCCCCCGTTTCTTGGCGAGAAGAATGCCCCTTGTGGGGGGGCTTCGAGCCAAGTCTTACGGCCCTGCTTTTAAACTAAGCTCGTTAATTAATTACAGCCAAGTCGACTGCCAAGGGTACTTGCTTACATAGCGCTATATAACACTTTAACATTGCGATGGAGCTTACGCGATCACTTCGTTTCAATATATTTTATTATTTAAATAAATCACTTTAACGGTTTAAAACGCGATATATTAGTTAAACTTATTTGAAAATGATTTTTAACTTCGGCCCGACGTTTCGGATGCTTTGCAGCAGCCGGGGTCACGGGGAGACGCGTTTTAAACCGTTAAAGTGTTTTATTAAAATGTGTACTACTCGCGTAAACTATAGACAGTATTTATATTTTATTACTTAACAAAGCTTGTATTAACTTTTTTATGAAAGAGAAGACAGACAGTTATATAACATCTGAACTAGACGCGCTGTCGACTTTGGCTTTGTACTTATACTTAATTTTTTCATGTGAGGACTGTGGCTCGTTACCGCGACGGAATTTCGATATTCCTACCGCCCATTTTATATCCACAATTCCGGAAATCCAATATGTTTCTAAAAAAAAATATTAGAAATTATTATCATTAGCCCAACGAGCCTGTCGATATATTATATTGTTTCCTATTTAAAAAGACGTATATTAAAGTTATAACAGGTCTTGGTAATGTTGAAGTGTTAGAATTTATATTGCTAATACATCAATAAAACATCAATCGGATATTGAACCCGGGAAGGACACTGTGCTCTATTAATTAGGTAACATCTTAGGTGTAAGAAAAATGGAAGTATTTTATACATACTAAATATATAAGTTACCTAATATAATGTTCATTTCGTCTCTATCCTACTTCCTGCATAATTTATATTAAACTAAGAATTCCCCCATTCACAACTCGAACACGTTGCTAATTTTAGCGCCATTTTTCACAACCACTTCTGGTGCAAAATAAAAAAAAAACTATTGAAATTATGAAAAACCTCACTCTCAATGAAAGAATCGCCAAGAAAAGCTCCTTCTGCGTTTCTTTAAATAAATTATATGGGAATGTTTTATTTTATAGGTATTCAGTTTGTGCGGTGTATCTTAAGTGTTGTCGTGAGCCCGCTGGCGTGGTGTAGCGACAAGTGAGTGTCGAGTACTACACATGTACCCGTGTTCCCTCCTGTTACTCATTTTAATGAGTACTTATTTTAGAGAAATCCACGCATACAACAATCCTGTATACAACTAATCATATACACAAACTCAAAGGCTGTGCTGGTAAAATAAATATCGTTTTTTGTAGATTTCTCTTCGATAAATCTCACTTAAAACCTTTAAGATTTTATCATACAAAAATTATGACGTACTTAAAAAAATGATGATATAAATTAAAAGTGTCCTTAGATTAGAAAAAAAACGACTCGGGCGGTACTTGAACTGGCATCCACAGTAATCCGTGCTGCTTCTCTAAGCAATTTATTAACCGTCTAAATGTGTCGTTTTTCAAAGTTAGAAGCAACAATAATATATAATAAAGGGGGTGTTATAATGTCTGTCCTAAGAAACACATAAGGAAGAAATATATGGCTGTAGCGACAACTCAACAATAAAGTCACAATTCCAACATCCCAATGTTCGGCACAAAATCCATTCCTCAAATAAGTCTTAATTTCCCCTGAACTTTGTAGACGAGCGGTCGTTTCATTAAAACTTGTGACGTGTCATTAAGTCCCCGCTCGTGATAATTATTAATATTCAAATCATAATTTCGAGTAAGCGAAGTGAAAAAGCAAAGACGTGTCAGGTTATGAATTCATTAACAGATGTTTTTGTAAGATTATTTAAGCTGTCAGCTTTGTTCACACATATACCTACTCACACTTCCAGGTTGCATCCCATGGTCACCTGGTCACGTGGTTCCCCAAGACCAAAACTCGAGCCGTAGATAAATTAAATGAATAAGTCAAATCAAATATTTTGCGTTTTAAACTGTTAAAATGTTTTATTTAAATGTGTACTAAACATGAAACACATTTAACCTTTGTTCGCGAAATATGGGTATAAATTGTAGATATGACTTAAACTATAATTTCATTATGTTTTTAACATTGTATTAGTTTAGTTGACACATCAAACAATTCAATATTTTTTTTAAATTATAATCTTAAATTCAAAATAAAGAAAAAAATTAAAGAATACTTTACGCAAATAGTACACATTTAAACAATAATCAATTCAAACACTTTAACGGTTTAAAACGCGATATATTAGTTAAACTTATTGAAAATAATTTTTAACTTCGGCCCGAGGTTTCGGATGCTTTGCAGCAGCCGTGGGCACGGGGAGACGAGACGGGGAGAAATGTCGGGAAAAGAAAAGTTTAACTAATATATCGCGTTTTAAACCGTTAAAGTGTTTTATTTTAATTAAAGAATACTTTTTCTTTATTATCTTAGTCCTTTGTTTATAATAAATAAAATTATATTTGCAACTAGTAATTTACAAATCTTGTACCATAAATTCCACCACTATCATTCCCAAACTAATTCAATTTAGTACATAAATTTACCTGATAGTAAATAATTTCGCGAACATAAAGACGACTGCACTAGAAGCTGTTTCTAAAACGCCGTTATTAATAACTCGCTTTACATTTGAAAATAAACACGCGCACACATTTAGTCAGCTCACTGCTTTCAGTGCCTAATCCCTTCGTGCATGGTGCACGCCAAAACAAAACTAAACAGTTTATAAGGTATACAAGCAATACTAACACGATTCGCGTTCAAGAGAGCGAAAAATAAAATAACGCAGGATAGGCGCGGTTTCTCGCCCTAGGGTAGAGGCGTGTAATTTTTCTAGATATTTCATATTTTACTCGCAGACACCCGCAGGCGCTGCGCCGTGCTGCGCCGGGGCGAAATGTCGTAGATATATACGCGACAGAGCATTATTATTAATAATTGATATTACATTCTTACGTATTGAACTGTCGAAATAAAAAAGAACTGCCCAAGCATTTAGATAATGGAAGTGGAATTCCAAATTCGAAATTCAAACATTAAATATACGCGGTGGAACATTATTATTAATAATTAATTTCCGTACGTATTAACGGCCGATATAATAAAAAAAAAATAGCCAGTTATTTGTTAACATTGTTCCAAAGTCAAATATTCCGTAATTGATTTTCTTGTTAAAATTATGGCGTGGAAAATTTGAAATAATTCCTTTGTTTTAAGAGGATTTATAATGTTCTAGATATTAAACATTAATATAAATTAAAATTACCAAGGAAACGTATTAGTAAAGTTTTAATAAAGAAGCCTAATGTACACTATGAATATTTTAAAAACGTTTGATTTTAACGAAAAGTAGAATGCCGTTAAATTTGTAAAGAGTACACAATCAAGGGAGAATATAATAAGTGCATATTTATATAACCTTTGGTTTATTTACCTCAATATTAATGATAAAGAAAAAATACTCAAGATCTTTCGTTTATTCCTCAAAAACATACAATATACTCTTAGTAAAAATATGCAGTGCTGTTCTGTAACTAACTTGCGTTCAGTTCTAGGATCAACTACTTGGCTGTAAATAAAATCGACGATTCAAACAGACGCAGAAATATGTTTGCCCCATGCAAACATAGTGCCCCACTAAGAAAAAAGATTTCTGTTTTTATAAGAAATCCAGGCGTGTAGCACGTCCTAGCTGTCGCGTGTCCGCCTGAACCCGGACGTAGGTCCAGGAAACGTATTACGCCCAAATGAATTCCCCGCCGTTTCCGGGACGCGACAAATCCGTTCTTGCCGCGCCCAAGACCCTTTTAACAGGGCTACTGTCTCAAAGAAATCATTAGATATAACATAATGTCTATAGATTTCTCTATAATATGTACATTTGACAAGCTTGTTGGTCTAATGGTAGCAATGTATGGCCAATAGTCAAGGGGTCGTGGGTTTGATCCCCACTCAGTCTTACATGTTTTTAATTCATATTTTTTTTAAACAGATGGGTGGTAGGAATATCGGAATTCCATCAGGGTCACGAACCACCGTCC